TTTGAGGAGGCGAGTGCTGTGCCCTGAAGGATGGGAGAGGAGCTGGGTGGGATAGGCAGGAATTCCAGTGTGACAGCACAGAGGTGCTCAGGCAGTCCCACAGAGCTCAGCTCTGTTTGCTGACAGGGAGGAGTGCAGAGTCTGATCCTCTGGCATGTTTTGTCTTTTCTTCAGGCCATTGTATTTAAGATCAGGGCTGTACACCAAGATTATTTTTAATTAACAATTACTTTAGTAATTTACAATGGGCAGATGACAAATTATAATCCCAAACCTTTCATTGTCAGAGAATCCACGTTTCCCAGAAACAAAGGCTTGGAGGAGCAGCAGCAGCACTCCCTTTGCTGTTGCTATGTGTGGTAACTCCTGTGACTTTTCTCACATTTCCTCAGTACCTTGGATCTCTGAGCTGATGAATCTCCTCACCTCCGCATTCCCCCAGAGGCTGTCTCGTTCTCTTGCAGTGATATCTCCTTTTTTTTTCCTCTCCCCCTCCCTTTGGCAGACCTGCATGGGCAAGGACGTCACCCTTCACGTCTCTGCAAGCAACCCTGCTATGCTGCTTTACCAGAAGTTTGGATTTAAGACTGAGGAGTACATTTTGGATTTTTATGACAAGTACTATCCCTTGGACAGCAAGGAGTGCAAGCACGCCTTCTTCCTCAGGCTGCGGCGCTGAGCTGCGGGAGAGCTCTGGGGAAAAGCCCAATCCATCCAAAAAACTCCCCAGCTTTTGGTGGAGGATGTTGGCTGCCACAGGAGAGCTGGAACACGCTGGTGTGTTTATCCCTAGGACTTTGGATGTCAACGGTGAGATGATGTGTGTGGAAAACGCAATCCAAAAGGATTGATTCCTGTGCTCCAAGGGGAGAGGCCTGGAAATGCCAACTAGGATACACTGAAACCACTGGAAAATTGAAATTCCTTATGGGGAATTTTCCTGCCACTACTTTGGAGAGCCTCATTAGCAAACAAAAATACCAAACAAAAAAGTGTTTCTCATTTCAGAGGGGCCCCATGGATTTCAAGTTTTGAAACCTGTCCAAAAAAATGTTGCAGGTTTTTTTGTCTCTGTTTTTGTTTATTAGCAAAAATGAACACCTAAACTTAAACCATTCAGTGTTTCTGTGGTTTGATTGCTTTGTTAGGAACTGTCTAGAGTCTGTGAAGGGAAGTAAGGTATTGGTGCCTGTAGCCGGATGTTTATGTTAGGAGAGTTCTGCACATGCCAGAATCATAGTCCTGGAACCATGTTTCAGGACTACTGAAGAGCGTGTGGATTCCCGTTATCCCAAGTACAAGGCTCCGAGGAGACACCTTTGTTTGCTCCTTCCCTGCTGCCTTCCCTTCCCTCCCCCTGCTTGCCCCGTGCTCAGTGTGACGTTCTCGTGGCGCGCAGTGTTTTGTGTTCAGGAGCGGTGTCAGGTGCGTTTGTGTCTAGCAAAGGTAGGGCACCACAGCTGCCAGATCAGCTCTTTGGAGTCTTTCCACCTCTCTGTGGTTGTTGGTCTGCAGATCAGCCCTCTGGGCACTCCTCTAGCCACAGAGCAGCCTCACAGGCTCCAGCACCCCCCTCCTCCTGCTGCAGGCGCTCTGGCTGGAAGAAACCCAGAGCAAAAGTCAGCGAGGATGTTTGAAATGCCGGCTCTGATTTGTAGAAGCAGTCTGCTGGCAGCTTGGAGGGAGGAGAGGGTAGAGGTGGCCTGGATCTAGTTCTTGGAAGCACCTAGGCTCACCTGGCGAAGAATAAATAGAAATACCCAAGAATTAAAAAACACAACCCCAAACACTTTCTCTGGCAGTGGCTCGTGTCCTTTTCCACAATGTAGCAGCTTCTCTCTCTGCCTGACCTTCAGTGCAGATGAACAGAAAGCGGCACAGACCTAAGTTAAGGCTGTGCATTTTAACTATGGATCACATCCATTGGGATGCTCCTTTTACATCAAGCCCACAGAGAGCTACACACCAAATGTGACTTCTCTCCTTAATCTACTGTGTGTATCTGCTGACTATAGCAGTGATTGCCTTAGTGGAGTCTTCATTTTGGTAACAGAAGAGAAAGGGACACAAAGTATGTTTTTGTGTAGCCAGTGTCCACCATCACCAACACAAAACCAGGGGTAGTGGAAAGGAAAACCAGCCCAGCTGAGGGTTGTGTGCCCTGACATTCATGCACATTTCTGCCTGTTTCATGACTGTGAAAATTTTCAGTGTTCTTAATGTTATGAGTCAGCTGGACTTTGAAAGAAAAGAAATATATGTCTTTATGAATGGAATTAAAGCCCTTCCCTTGGAAAAGCTTGTCTGTAGTCATACTGTTTGTTAAGATGCCTCTCCATCATCTTATTTCATTGGAATCTGGCAAAGTCTAGCATGGCCCTAAGAGGATATGTGTGGGCAGCTGACCAAGGCAAGAAACTCATTTCCCTACGGCCACCCCCACATGCAGGCCTTAGCAAGCTCCTCCTTTCCAAACAGAATTAGGAAATACAAAGTAGTCTGAAGAACATAGCTGGTTGTGTGCATTGTGTTCTCAAAGGTGACCGTGAAGATCTTGAGGACCATCTTGCTCTGTGGCTTTGTCCCTCAGGGACTGCCACGTGCCGATTGTGTTATAACAGCCCTGTGTCACCGCTGAGCTGCAGCCAGCTTGTTTTATCCAGGTCCCTCGTTTAACCCCCGATCCTCAAAGGCGGTGAAGTGATCCTCGGGGTGGGAGCCATGGATTTGTAAGGAGTGAGGTTCTTCTAAGGCACGTAGTGAAACAAGCAGCCGAACGGTGTTGCCAGCCCTCTGCTTCCCTCTGGTGCCTCGGGAGCCGGCTGCTGGCTCGCCCGAGCTGTGCTTGAGGAGCCAACACCGCCCTGCTCCCCGGCTCGGCTCCTCCGCGCTTCCCGCCGCCGGGCAGCGACCGTAGCGCTGAGGAGGAGCCGAGCACAGCCTGACAAAGCACGGCTTATCCCGGAGAATAAAGGCGGAGCCTCAGCCTTTCCTAATAGGGCGGCAAAGACCAAGTGTTTCCCTGAGCCCAAGCGTTTCCCTGAGCGCCGATTCGTTGCCGCAAGGAAAGGCTTCCTTTCGGCTGGCTGCGCGGGCTCCCTGAGGGCGGCGGGCCCGCCCCGCTCCCGCCCTGCCCCGCGCGCGCAGCCGTTTGAACGCGGCCATGGCGGGCCGGGAGGGGCTGCCCGAGGTGTGGCGGCTCTACTTCGACTCCGTCCGCGCCGCCACCTTCCACAACTGGCCCTTCACCGAGGGCTGCGCCTGCACGCCCGAGCGGGTGAGCGCGGGGCCGGGGGCGGCGGGGCCGGGGCGGCGGGAGCGGGGCCGGGCGGGCGCTGACGGCCTCCGCTGTGCCCGCAGATGGCGGCGGCGGGCTTCGTGCACAGCCCCAGCGAGAACAGCCCCGACGTGGCGCAGTGCTTCTACTGCCTCAAGGAGCTGGAGGGCTGGGAGCCCGACGACGACCCGCTGTGAGTACCGGGGGGATCCCTCGGCCTCCGCCCCGGCCCGGGGGAGCCGCTGGTGGCAACCGAGGGGCTCGGCAGGGGAGAGCGGCTGCCTCCTCTTTTATCTTCTCTTTCGTTTCGCCTCTTTTCAGGGAGGAGCACAAAAAACACACTGCCGCCTGTGGCTTTCTTTCTCTTCAGAAAGAACCGCCTAAGCTGACGGTGCAGGAATTCCTGAAGCTGGAAAAAATACGAACGAGAAAGGCACTTGTACGTACACGGCTTCCTGTCTTTGAATTGTTGAGCTGGCCTCGTTCCTTTCCACAAGGCTTTGTGCACAGTGCCTGTTGCATCCAGGCTCGGGCTGGATCAGCCGGTGTCCCCTTTCCCGGTTCTCATCCATGCAGGATGTATCCTGCTTTCTCCTCGAAGCTGAACATACTCCACTTAGTAACATCGTATTGCTTTTACTCTTTGCAGAAAAAAGAGGTTTCTCAGAAGATGACCAAGGTTGAAGATAAAGCCAAGATCCAGCGCTGTAGTATAAAGAATCTGGCCTAGACTGCTGCAGCTTCACAGTTGCCAGTGACATCTGTCTTGTCCACATGCTGTGGCACTGCCCCTGTGACTGAATGGCCGTGTTTCCTGAGGCTGCTTCCAGACTGGCTGTCCCTGAGGAGCAGAGGGAATTCTGCTTCACTCCTCCCATTCTGTCTGGGAAGTACCTGGGGTTTGATGCATTGCATACAAAATCTTTTTCTACAAAGAATCTCCTAATTTTCGTGCTGTTTTTTAAAGGATTATTATTTGTGGTTTTACTTGTGGTTTTTTGTTATGTTTTGTTGTAAATTCACCTGTTTAGAGGTATTGCTGTCTCATAAAGATACTGGTAGCTCTGGTGCTAAAACTTAAGTTTCTCATAGGAGTTGACATGCATTTCCATGTTTGTACTGAGTATACCGATGCTTTTAGATACTTTGGGACATAGAAAGGAGAAGGAGTTTTAAAAATACTTCAGGGATTTAGGATTGTGGCTAATAACACTGAGTTATACCACACCTTAGTGTGCCTGGTATTCTTGTAAACTTCTGTTTGTAGTTGGCTGCTGCCTTGTGTTGATGCATAAATAAAAGTTGAAGGCAGAACAACAAAGCAGTTTTACTCGATTTTCTGGAGGACAAGGCTCTGACCTTTACTGCAATGGGCTGCACTGACTGCAGTTTTAACATCAAAAAGGAAATGAAGCTCATGAGTTACAGCTTGCAGTGCTGTTGCTCAAGTGTCAAACTCTCATAAGCAGTGTCCATCAGGCATTACAGACACTTCAGAGACACTGAAATGTATTTGTGCCTGGGAAGGTTTGGTTTGTCCCTCTGTTTGGAAAGGAAATTTGCAGAGTAGAGTGCAGTCAGAGGGGAATTGAGCTCTGAACTGCTGGAAAGGAATGGGGCAGTCTTGGAGAAATATCTGACTGTTAGAGGGCCCAAGCTGATCACACAGGGTCAAGGATTCTGCAGACAGAGCTGGACACATGTGATCAGGTGCTCCCAAAGTTAAACAACCTTCAGCTTTATTTGGGGAAAAGTTTGTTGTAATAACACATTGATGAGAACAGTGTTCCTGTGTCACATGAGTTTGCTCAGTGTTCTCTATCCACACTTGCTTGGAACAGTGAAATAACCTTATTATCTCCAGCTGCAGCAGCCAAATGCAGCGCTGAGTGCCCTGCTGCATTCTTCTTTTGCACGCTTGCATTGCAGCTGTAAGTACAGAACACTGGTTTAAACTGCTTAAATTCAGTGCACTCAGTGATGAAGTGGCTTGCAGTGAATGTTGATGTGGAGTAACTTTGGAATTTCTGGATGCTTCTTCCCACAGGGACACGGGGCAGGCTGTGGCCCTCCAGTGGTGGTGCCAGGCTGGGGGGAGCCTGCAGCTGAGCTTACCTACCATAGCAGGGCTCGGATGCTCTCCTCTCCCTCCAGTCCCAGCAGAACTGCCTCATGGAGAGCTGTGTTGTTGTGCCTGCACAGGAGGAATGAGCAGTGCACTTGTACCTAAGAAAACTTAGCAAATAAAATGTAGGAAGATGAATAGGAGGACACAGAACACACGAGAAGTGTGGTAGGTTTTGGTGATGTTTATCATAATAAGTTGAAGCGGGTGGGGGAAGGAACTGAATAGAACAGCAACTTTTATAACAGAAGTTATGAGGAATCTTCAGAGCTGGCAACTGGAAGAGTGAGTGTGGATACTGTCCTTGAAAAGAACATAATTGTGGAGGAGAGATGGGGTTGAGTTCTCTCTGAAACTGGAGCATGTTGATTTCTTTTGGTAAGACCTGGGAAGAGCCGAGGCAGAGGATCGGAACTCACTTACGGCCCTGACTGCTGGTCAATGTCAGCCCCTTTCTGCACCAGAGGGGAGACAGCTCCTGTGTGCTTGTTCAGGACAGCAGCTGTGAGGGCAGGGCGCTCCTCCTCGCTCAGGGAGTTGGGGTCAGCTCCCTGGGACAGAGCAGAGGCAAAGGGGCTGGTTAAACTACAGATTCTTCAGCTGCCACCTCGCTTTTGTGTTATGCCAGTTCAGGTTGGCAAACGGGCTTCGTGCTCAAGACAGAGAGAAGGTCAAAGTGTGTTGTTTTGCTTTCTTCTGAGAATGTTTGTCATCTCCTAGCTCAAAGCCAGAGTTAATGTGTGTAACAGTAGCCAAATGAGATACAGAGCAGAAACACAGAGATTATGCTTGCTTTTGCTATATAGAGGACTTGATCCTAAGTGATAAAACTAATACTTTTTTTTTTTGTTTGGCTTTGACAAGCCCAGAGAAGACTGCCTTATGCATTGATCAAATAGAAATTTGGGGAGATAATCTGTAAATGTAAAATAGGCCTTATCTTCTCTAAAATGCTCTTTCAATCTGAAGACTGGTATTGCAAGGCTGTTGCCTTCTAATCATCAAGCTGAAGTTGCATTCCAGGCTAATATTCATGCAGTACACGGCCAAAGAGTTGAAAAAGGAAACTTCAGCAAGCGTTACTTACATCACTGAGCAATTGTTCTATGAAGGTGATTCTTCCTTTCCCAGACTGACCCAGCTCATCCAGCTGCTGTCTGGACTCTGGCTGTGGAGACACACAACAGCCAGGAACATTTCACACAGGGAAAATACAAGTAGGTGGGCCAGATTCTGCATGGAATGAAAGTGCAAAATGCCCACAGTGGCATGAATTTGATGTATCTGAGCCTCATTGTTACTAATCCCTGACTTTGGGAATGTCTTTCTGAACCTGAGCAAGTTGGGTAACCTTGGCTAATATCTCACTACTGAGGTCTCCGTTCAGCAATGTGTGTCTGCAAATTATTCACTTTATGTCAGCGCAGCTCTCCAGGGCTGTACAAAGATCTGCTCAGCACAGTAAAATTAAACATGGCTACATTTTTAGGAGTAAAGTTTGAAGCTTCCAGAACTTGTGGAAGTATTTTGTTTGAAAAATGTGTGTTTTGCCTCAGTGAAATTAGTTTACTAAATCTTAACAAACAAAACCTAAAACCTTTTCCTTTTATTTCTTCCCAGCTTTCAACCTTTTCTCATTTTTAAAGCTCAGTCACTTGACCAAGCATTTTTATCTCTGGACTGATATCACAGAGCTCTGTATCTCCTCCCACCTGTTGAGTTGGCTGACTGATCCAAGCTTAGATTAATGTACATTCCTCTTTTGAAATTTTCCATGTCATTACTGACAATCCCTTTAGTAGACAGTTCTTTCAGGAAATTTGGTCTCCAGTGAAAGTAAATTCTTGCTTCTTGAATTAAACTAGGCCTCTATGGAGTCAAATGTAAAGTCAAGGGAAGATGAAAACACCTCCATATGATGTTGCTTCTGAAAAAAATCTGTAAGAGAATCACTGCAACAGTCCTTAGGCCTAATGCAGTGTCAAAATTGAACGGGTTCAAAATGAGAGAAAAAATCTAATTAAACTCTTTTAGAAAAACAAATTAGTTATTTTCAGTTCTGAACTAAATGTCAGTTACCAATGTCTAGGTTTTGTATTAAGTTGGACTTTTATCTCCTGCCCCCAGTCAGAGTTAAAACCTTTCTATTTTAATGCCTGGATGCCCTCCTTTATGTTAGTGCTGCTCTATAAATCTTTTTTCCTGTCTTTGCAGAGGATACTTACAGAGAGCTTATATTCCTGTCCCATGAGTGTTCTTGACTTGGTTCTCTTTATTTTGCTTCTTGAATGGAGAAGATTGGGATCACCTCTGCCTACCAGAAAGGAAAACAAGTGTTAATTCAAAGCAAAGTCAGTATCCTAACTAGAACTTGGAGCAGAGATCTGGAAATAGTTTATCTAAAATCAAAGCAATATTTATCAGTTTTCCACATGAGAAAGTGATGAAATACTTGTTGCAGTTCAAACTGGTTTTAACAAAAGGTTTGCACAGCTCCCAGTGCAGTGACTGCCTCTTGCCAAGCCTCAGACTGGAAGCACAAAGTAGATGAAACTTACATGTGAATTAAGTATGTCAAATGATGCTATAGGAATTCCTGAATTGCAATGACAACTGTTGTAAAGTTGATTTAATGAGAACCTAAGTCCAAAATGAGATGCCCAAAATGCTCTTACTGACACCAGTGGGAGATCGCAGTTAAACAACATCTCCACATGAATGTATTTCATAATTTCTCATCTCTGCAAAATATGTCAGAGCTGGCAGTCCATGCAGAGCTCAGGAGTAGAGATAATATTGATATTTATGGTTCCTACTGAAAAGAGTATGTGAAACACCTAAAGTTTGAGTGCTATAATAAAAGCACTGCTGTGACCTGTGGCTGCAGTTCACTGGTCTCCTCAGCTCTCCAGGGATGAAGTTGCCAGGAGTTTTTGAGAGCATCTGTACATTGCTTAAATCTCAACTTGGACACGTTTTGAGACTTAAAAGATCAACTTTAATAGGCACAGAATGTTTGCCTGCCTTGATCTCTAGGCTTCCAAGCACCACTTCTGTCTTCCTGACTGCTCCATTTATGGTCTACTGTAAAGACAGGGAGGAAAAAATCTCACCAAAATTAGTCTGACTGCCATCCTGTCCATCTGTGAGTTCTGTTCCACCACTCTGGTAATCATTGCTGAACTTCACTGCTCTGTTAGGATGAATATCCTGTAAAATCATCAAATGCAGGCAGTTACTAAGATTATCATGTAATGCTGCTGTAATCTTAGTGGCACAACACTTGCCTATGAGAAGATACACAGGCTTTGAATATCACTGTCAAGTTACCAGAAGACATTATCATATGTAATTGAAGTCTGTTTTGAGGCAAAATTATGTAGCATTTTTTTCTGAACCTTGTGTTAGGTATTTCTTTTGATTTAGAAAAAAACAGTGATACAACCTCAATTAATGAAATTAAGATTCTCATCCAAAAGAAAATGTTTCTACCACTTGAGAAATTTCACTTCTGAAATGATGTGATACAGTTTTTCAGGCCTCAATAGCAAGGTAAGCTTTCCAAAATTCCACACAAGAGACACAGTCTGAATTTTTGATTTTTGAAATAAGAGATTTTCATCTAGAAAAGCTGGAATTGTGTATGTTGTGATTTTTGGAACATGGTAATTCCTGAGACAGAGATTCCAGATTTTGAATAGAGCTAACAGGAGCTCTGACAAAAGTTATCTCCAAACTATTGAAAATTACTAAGATTAGTTTTTAAGAGCATCCTTCACAGGCTGAAGAAAAGCAGGTTCTGAGATCAAAAGCTAAGGGGTGCTAGAATCATCAGACAACATCAGCTGAAAGAACAAATTTAATACTAAGAGCAAACTAACAAAATGTGAGATGATAGCAACATAACCATGAAGCCTGGCTTAATCAGATAAAGATAACTGTTCATCCAGCTCCAACAGAGAAAGAAAAATATTATTTTCTCTGAAGAGGTCAGTTAACAGCCTCTGAACAAAAGCATTTCTTGTTTAGACCTGAATTTAAAATACATCAGCATTACACTGCTCTAGTGACAGCTTTAGACCAGCTGCCTCTCAATAGGCCCCATCCCATGAACTGACCTTGTTAACAGCAGCAAAATTCAACGTAACAGTGACTTCACAGTCATCTTCAGAGATGGTGGCATAATTGATCTAAAAGGAAAGAGCAGCCATGAGTTTATCTTAGCAAAAAAACCCAAAAAAACCCAAACAAACAAACAAAAAAAAACCCCACAGAAGTACTTTAAAGAATAATTCTTGCTGATGGTGTTTCTTGTTGCCAATGCACAAAATCACACGTGTGGCCTTTGCCTCCTTGTGATATTGTACCAACACTTCCCATGTCAATGAGAAAGGGGCACGTGTGTTTTGTTTAACTGGAAATTTCACAACAACTGAAACCAAATGGATCTACCAGCCAAATTAATCCAAAACTGTAATGAGGCTGCATTTCATGGAAGTTCAGTCATTCTTCACTGAGATGTTGCAGCTGCACAAAAGGCTGTGTTGTTCCTGGGATTCCCAGATCCAGGAGGCTGCTTTAGTGACACCAGTCTGGAGAAGCACAGTCTGTATTGAAAATTTGGTACTTTTGTGTATCAATTCCTTGAGGCAGTACTGCTGGCAACAAGTCCATGGAAGGCATACAAAAATGAGTGCACAGGTATTTATAAAGAAGTGGAATGAAGATTATATTGCAGTTGGTTGAGAATTTTGAGGTAAGGTTGATTATATTTCTAATCCACGTGAAAAACTGAAAAAGCAGCATTAAACCCAGATAGTTGGCATCTGCTTTGAACCATTTGTTACTTCTGGGGGCACTGCTTTTAAGACAATAAACTGACAAAAGACCAAGAAGCAGCAGGAATAGCCTTCTCTGTGCAATTTTATATTCTTCAGGGTATCCTTTTGAATCCTCTAGCAGAAGAAACAAGTTGCAATGGACTGTACCTCAACTCTGTTAAGCAGATATTCTCTTACAGTTGCACTGCAGCTTCTGAACATCCTGGTGGACAATAGGTCTCAGTGAATATAGAAATCAGGGGTCAAGTATCTACTGGAGGAATCCTAGGTTTCCACTTTCTTACTATATAAAAGCAGCTGAGCAAGGCTTTCTCACTCCCCTTACAGCTCTTAGGTGAGAGAATAGGAATTGCCATTGGAAAAAAAGCAGAAAAAAGTCTTCAGGAGAAGACTGACCAAAAAATGGAACAACCAAACAAGACAAATGACACACACAAACAGATCAACATCTAAAGAAAAGGGAGACATTTATTTTTTCCAGTGTTTATGTAGCAGCCACAATAATCTTTTCATGACCCTTCATAGGAAGATATTACTCACAAGCTCCTTCCTACCTTTCCCATTTGAGGTTCTCCAATCAGTGTTCTGAATTCAAGGTTGTTCTGGGCATAGCTTCGTACATGAGCACAAACATGATCCAGCTGTTTTCTCCAGTAACCTGCCAACAGGGAGTTTAAGCAGGAGAAGAGTCCTTAAAATGTGATTAACATTCCTTCTCGTCAAGTGATGGAAGATTTAAAAGATAGCACAGTTTCACTGAGATAAAAAAATAAATCTGTAGAAAATTCATCTAATCAAGAAAATGAGAAGGAAGTTATACCCTAAAATGCCAGGTGAAACAGTGCTTCATCTGTAGTGACAATTCATTCTTAGGGCCCTCTATTCATAACAAAGCCATGCCTTAGAATGATCCTTAGGAGTCAAAACTGATTCTGTGTGAAGGGAAAAATCTCAGACCATTCAAGATCATAAGAAAAGAAAAAAGTAAAATACTACAATTAAGCAATTATGTTATTGAACTGATTTTTAGTTGATTTGGGATAACTGACAGGGAAAAATAAGCCAAATCTGAAAACTGCAAACACAGAAACGCAGGATACACAACACTTTGGTCTGTGTAAATTATCCTCCAAATAAATTCCTTTTAATTATATATGTGAGACCATATTAAAAGCTTAAGCATTCCTGCTCTTTTGCCTGTCAGGATTTCTTTGAGAGAGTCAGCATTCCTTTATGCTGATAGAGGGCACAAAACATAAGGGGCTTAATGTGCCTGGATTAAAAACTCATCTTAAGCCATTTAGAGCTTTTGCACCTCCTGTCCAGGCAATTCCAGAGCTACATTTTGTTTTCATCAGAGAAAAAACACAAATGGACTTGTTCTCATTTTTAACTGATTGTTTTCAGGATCTGGCTGATTTTCCTTTTTAGCATCCTCATGGTAAATACAGAGCATGATTCATTTTATTGTAAATAAACTGTGTAGGCTTGGTAACCTCATTTAACTGACACAATGCAGCTGCTCTGACCTTATCCTTTCCTTCATGTTAAGTGAAGCTTAAAACAGTGAAAAGAGACCAAGCCAGAAGGAAAGTGCTGCTCTGGCTTTTACAAGACAAAACAAGGGCACAAGGAGTTTTGTGCTTGGAAGACTCAAGGTTGACAAATGATGCTATGGCAAACTAAACCAACAAATCTTACTTGTTAATCAGCTTTAAATGAATAGAAAAAGAAGGATCCACAGAACAACATAAATTGTTCCATGTTGTAGTCTCATATGCAAAAACTAATACAAGCTGAAAGCAGTGTTTAAAACATCTTAAATAACCTACTTGGTGAGTGATCTCTCCATAGAACTCAGTATTATTTGCAATAAAGTGGTTCATAACTAGCCCAGATCCCCAGATTTTATTTGAAAAAATCCAGATGGTCAGGAACATATTCTTGCATGGTTGATGTTCTATTAGATCTTGAAGGATTTTTGGCAGCATTGATGGAATACTTGAATCCATGCTGCCAATAGCAGATTATACCTATATCACACTGATTTAACCTTTGTTACAGTAGAAAAAGGAAGTTCTTTGGAAAGTTTACATGGTAAATGTCTTGGTTCCTGTTCAAAACAGACTGAAAGTACAGCAAAAAAAAGAAACACAGTATACATCAGAGGATTAGTAAAAAAAGAAACACAGTATACATCAGTGTTTTGGTACTGCTGTTGTTTGGCCCTTTCTTACTTTCTTAACTATTTAATTTTTTTTTTTTAATCTTCACACATGAAAAGAAGGTTAGTTAATAGTTGGTATGGTCAAGAAATAATAACCTCCACCATTTTATTTAATCACTTCTATTAAAAAACTTGAATATCAAATGTCTGATCCTATTCTGAATGAAGAAATAATGTCATATTTGGCATACATAAACAAGATTTTCCTGGGTGATACGGCATGGTTTTGTTGATACTTGATAGCTTCAAGCCATGTATAGGACTCATCATGAACTGACTGTGAGACATTTATTGATTTATGGAATAAATTCCTCAGTCCTTGGCAGGATCTAAAGGAGAATACATTACACAGTGCAACTTAACAAAGTTACCTCTGCCAAGTGGACAAAAGTGAAAACAACAGAAAAGCAGCTCAGAATTTCTGCCCAACCTTTCCCAGTGACAGCAGTTCTCATTCACAAGCCAAGAGCTGTACTTCTGACAGAGATATACAAATATTCAGTGTGACTTTGCTTTTTTCTTGGCACTATTAGGGGCCAATCCTTTTTTATCTCTGACTAAATTAAGCTCCCTGACATGTTGAGTCAAGTGCTGTATTTACAGTGATGCCTAAGAGAATATGTCATATTTCAGAGGAAGGGAGAAGAAAAACAGATTTCCCCAGTGATTATTTTAAAAATCAGAGTCCATCTGAATACAGACACACAGAGTTGAAAGAGAAATTTCTAACATTCATTAGCAACTTTTACTACCCAATAGAAAATTAATTCTGGTAACAGCCTGAGGGGTTGATCATCTGATTGCTGAAGAGAGCTAGATGAGAAAGTGGATGCAAAAGAGTAACTGCTCCTCTAAACCCAGGTTTGGTGCTGTAATGATTTAAAATTAACTCGTTCTATGGATTGCCCAGTTGGACTGCCCTGTGAGATTAAAGACAATTTTGCCCACTGAGTCATTTATTAGAACCCTAATTAATACCAATGGACTATCTTCAAGGGTTTGGGATCAAGAAAGCTGAAGATTTCTCAGGATCGTAAAACTAAAACCTCTAAAAATGGCAAGCATTTAATGACAGCAAACAGCCAAGTGATTCCACAAAGAACAAAGTGACCACAAAACTCCCTGTGAAAGAAAGTTTTCTGCACTACTGATACTGCTCCTACTGTAGTCTGTGAGAGGAAAGACTCTTCAATGAGTGATGTTTTCATAATCCTATTAAGAATCCCTTCCTCTAGTTTAGTTTTCTTTGCTTCTGAAGCTTCTATAATTTATTCCACACCAGCACCCCAAACAAGTTCCTCATGTAGACAAGCTTCATCATATTTTCAAGATCTCTGATCCCGTGTCTCAGAGTTTTGTTTATCAATATCCCTGCAGGTGCCATCACAGCTCCACAAAAGTTCACATGGCAAGGACTGGGGAGGGTGCTGGGAACTGGGAGCTGTTCAGTGGTTTCCAATTCCAGTTCAGGACACCTGCCTCCAGTCCTGTGGGATCTGAAGAAATCAAACTGCTAACAATTTAGTAAGGCTGTACAGGGCTCAGTAACCCAAATTTTGGTATCGCTGATAGCTTTATTTTAGCTATTGGTGGAGATTTAAGGCAGTGCTTTTACAAGTGACTGGTGGAAACAGACTTGTAAAAATGTAAATGAGTGTCCTACTGATGCCACATTCCATACACTATAATACTTTCAAGAAAAAGAGCAAGGTCATGAATTGTTTAGAAATCATAAAATCAGAGCTTCTAACCTTTGCCAGGACTAATGGCTGTCAGGAGAGGCTTATGATCACTCATCTTTTCCACCTTTTCTTTTTGTGAAATCAGCTCAAGCTCCTTCTTTTCCAACAGTTTGCTGGATGGGTAAAAAAGTCCAATGGTTTGGGTTCCTTTATCTTCTCTTTCTGTTAGTTCTGCCCTTGATTTGGGCAAGGAAACAGGACAAGTTTGCCAGCCAGCCTGTAATAGTTTTGCCTGTCGGAGGTGGAGGAGAAGGGAAAATGTAAGTAATATAGATATAATTCAATGGCTTACAAGCATAACTACCCAGAACACCAAACTGTAAGAGAATTAAAAAGCTGTCAGGAAGAATAATTACCAATTTTAAAATTTTAATTACCAGTCTGTAACAACAATGCAACTTATCACAAATATTCAAGCAAAATCCAAATTCTTCACGATTGCCAGGGGATGGGTATGCTTTTGTAGGGCAAAAGCTGGCCTTGTTAAGTGTTGGGCTCTTTCTTAAACAGTTTAAAAACAACTACTACATTTGTGTGAAAGAATACCTTGTATCAGCAGACCACAAATAATTCACAGCCAGTAAGATAAAACTACTTGAAGAGCTAAGACTTTTGAAAGGCTGATTGTTTCTCATTTTGCCATTTACAAAGAGGCTGGATTGAGGCCTTGGGCTGAGGCTGCTTTGCAGCAGAAAGCAAAACAAACATTTTTGTCCTCCTTGTGCTCCCAGCCCACAGCATTGTCCCAAGGAAATGAATGGAGCTGTGCTGATCCATACCCCCAGTGCAGCAGCCTCTCAGCTGAGCTCAAACCTGGCTTTGTAACACTGGGTGTCCTACCTGAGAGGATGCCAGGGAGTCCCCACGGTCCATGGGACTGCCAGGAGAGCTCTGCCTGGATGGGGGCTCTATGTAGACACCACAGAACACGCAGAAGCGAGCATAGGGCTGGTTGCTGGTACCACACTTGGAACAAGTAAAGTAGGATGGAGGAGGTCCAGGCTGGAAAGTTCAATGCAATATTTGTCACTGGAGAAACATAGGATGAATGACTCAGAAATTATAACAGCAGAGGAATGAATTAAAAGGAAGTAAAGTATCATCCTGAGTGCCCTAGTACAGTACAGGACTAATGGTTATTTATGCATATAGGGGAGTGTTTCAAATTTTATGTGCATTCAGTTCACAGAGAATAAATTCTCCTTGAGTGTGATCTTAGATAGAAGCACTGTACAAGGGGAAATTGTTTACATTGATTATAACTCTACTGAGCAGCAGTTAAGTACTTGTCCTTACTGAAGTTAAGGAGGCCTTCAGTCAAAACAATTGCATGCATCATCTCATATCTGGTAATTGCCTGTGTAGGTGATTATAGCCCAGAGCTGTTATGGGAAAACTTGCATTGGGTCAGCCTGTACTTTAACCTTTGATGGTTAAGCTACTTTGCCTGAGCACAGGGCTGTTACATCTCAGCTGATGCAATGACCTGGTGCTTGTTGACCCATGATAATTTGTTTGCAGCTCTAAACCCTGGGGTCACTGACTGATGTGGGGTCAGGATGTCTCCTAAGCCATTCATTTTTCCACACACAATCCTCTATGCTCTAAGCAAGTTTCTCAATGATAACCGTGTTGACTGACTGGCAGGAGCTTTGCAGAGAGCAGTGTGACACTGCTGCAGCCCCAGGTTTGTCCCCACAGCAGCAGGAGCACGTGCCTTGGCCCCACACCAGGCGCAGAAGCGGGCGTCGCTCTGGTTCACGCCGCTGCACTTGGAGCACTGAGCTGTCTTCCTTGGCTGGCCCTGCACAGGTGGGCAGGAGTCTCCTCCAAACACGGGCTGATCAAACAAAACAAGCATTAGGGAGGAAATCAGGAAGGAAAGTCCAAAGGCCTAATGAGGGGAAAGAGGAAAGCAAGCTGCTCTGGCAACATAAAGTAATATTCAGCCTAAAGGAATTATTGCAGCTTACAATGAGCCACAGAGTGACTTGGATCTAACCTATAATTTTCATTACAAAATTCATTACAAATGTAGCATTAATTAATTTGAAAATATTTTTAGCAGAGCTAGCACTAAAAATAACCTTATCAATGGTGTGCTTTTAATCTGAGTATTTATTAGTAGGGCCCTATGTATAAGTACAGATGGAATTAAGATGGAGGTTTCTCTACTGACTTGCATTTTCAAATCCAACACACCATTTTCCTTGTACCTTTCTTTATAGTAGTATGGCAGGGAGAATGTGTTTAGGCAAAGAGTTTCCTCACAGTTTGGAATTTGCCGCATAAATATTTTTTGCACTCTTGTGCAAATTATATATTACTCAACTTTTCTACAATTAACTTATATGAGTAAGCAAAACAGGTTTTTCATCTGAAACTTCTAGAGCTTAAGTACAGATCCCAGTTAGGACAAACAGGACTTAAAAATGTTTTGTTAGGTTTTGCCTTAAGGCTTTTGCAATTTATTTTCTCTACAAGTCAGGAATATGGACAGGGGACAGAACCCAAGGAAAATTATTTTGATTACACCATAACAGCAAGTAGGCAAACACAAAATAGCCCTGTTTTAATCTGTGGCCTGCATTGCAATTTGAACAATGTAATTTGGGGGTTCAGTTGGAAAATAAAATTTGGAAAAGCACAAGTCTAAGTATGTTCTAAATATAAATGACTTAATAGCCATTAATAATGAGATCATCATGATTACTATTATTAAAAGTACTCTTGTTATCACTAATTCATCACTATTATTAGCAAATTTTCTGATTACTATTAATAATTCTTGGCATTTAACTTATTCAGCTAATACAGGTCTCACATTCAAGTCACATGCCTAACTACATATGCAGCTACATAATATCTACACACATATCTGCATTCAGTGAAGCAGCCAAACATACATTTATCTTAGGTAAGTGCAGAATCCTACTGAAATTCACTTTGAAATGACACTTATGTAGCTATACAAGAGACTTTTGCCTCTAGCTATGGACAGTTTTAGACCTCAGGATGTTAATCATTATAATCTGAAGATTTTAACTTACAAACCATTATTGTTCTATCATTATTATGTTTATGACAACATGGAGAAGTGAAATGTACTAGACATTTTTCATACAAGATTTTTTCAGTACTGAAAATAAAATTCTTCTAAGGAACCAAGCTAAACGGGGAGTTGAAACAGAGCAATTTTAGGGGTAATATTTCAGTGCTTTTCTCACCTCTGTGCAGTCACAGCCCAATACAAGCATGCTAGCTGTATGCATGTAGGAGAAGCAGCAAGTGGAGATAAGAAAAATAATGTAAAAGTGGAGATATGAAAAATAATGCAAAAGTGTATTCTATTTTCAGAAAATTGAAATCAGTGTGATTGATGTTCCTGATGTATATACTCAACTTTTCTATTGCAATTGAGAGTAATCTCGACACAAACAAGACTCCTTGGAGTCAAGGCTACCCATTTTCTAAGAGCCTTCTGAGCTTTCTCAATGGCATTCACAATCCTGACTTCCATGTGAGAAACTTGAAGATACATGAGACACTTATGTTTAGCTGGACATTTGTGGTGGAGCTCCTGTGGGAGGACGGGGCTTAAATATGACATTGGGGAGAAAATCTCTGCTTTGGTAACACAGGGACACGGGGACACGACTTCAGTTTTCCAGAGATAAAGGATGTTGTGCTGTGGTTTGATTCCCCCAGTGTGATTGAAGTCTTACCAAATGTACTTCAGGCAGCTTGCTCTCACAAGTTGCACAGTGTTTATGGTGCAGAGGATTTCCTGTGCCACACACCTGACAAATGACTTTGCCCTTTTAAACAGAGAGAAAATACATTTCACATAGTATTTGAAAACTGTCAATAAAAAGACAAAGAAGAAGACAATCTTACAAAATGCTGTAGTTATTCAGCCCTGCAGATAAGGATATCCTTCAAGTCTGGGCTGTTTCACACTTTGGCTAGGCCATGTTGCCTCTCATCACATGGGGACTATTCTATTTTAAATTATGGTATAGTTTCCTTAGGACATGCAGTATCAGTATCTCCAGGTCTTTGTATACTCTGGTTTCAGTTTGTTTAGTCACTATACTCACAAAAACCAGACAGCCCAGTATCTGCACAGACAATTATGAGTAATAATATAATACCATAATACTATGAGGTGCCTTAAAAGACTTCTGGTGGTGAGATGACCCTGGCTGAAGACGAGGTGCCCAACAAAGTAATTCTATTACTCCCCTCCTCAGCTGGACAGAGACGAGAAAATATGATGAAAAGCTCATGAGTTTAAGGGCAGGGAGAGATCACTCACTGATTACTGTCAGGGGAAAAACAAACTCATCTTGGGCAAAGTTACTGAATTTATTACCAACCAAATCAGAGTAGAAAAATGAGGAATCAAACCAAATCTCAAAAAACACCTTCCCCTCAGTCCTCCTTCCTTCTTGGACTTAACTTTCCTCCTGATTCTCTGTCTCCTGCCCTCCTCAGGAGCACAGGGAAATGGGGGTTAAGGTCAGCTCATCACACATTGCCTCTGCTGCTCCTTTCTTCTCAAGGGAGGTATGTCCATGTCTTTCTTGTACTGGGAAATCTTTAATCCCCTTTTCCATTCGAGCTGTTTTAAATCCCACTAACTCTTAAAGCTGTCCATAATGTAATTATACAAGGCCAGGTTGGATCAAAATATTTGTAATGAAGTCATATGTTAGAAAAATGCATGCCAGGAGTTAAATGACGATTTTGTTTTACTTATTCTCAATTACCTTTATGCAGATGTTGTTTTGGGGCTGCAGCTGTGGAGCTATTGGTGCCTCACAGATAATGCAAGTGGGTGTATTCATTGGCACAAGATGTCTGCACTCAAGGCACGGTGCCATCTGAAGGAGAAGCCACATCACAGTTATGTTAAGGACCATGATGAGATCATTAAGGTTGTAATGAGATTTCAGTATTTTCCTAGCTGGAATCTACATCAGCAGCAAGGTCACTGGAAACATAGCAACTGACAGCAACTGATGCTGATACTGAGCCTTAAAGATCAACGGATCATATTGAGAAAATATTAAGACATCTGGAAAGAGAATGCCAGAAAAGTATTAAGGTAATTTTCAACACAATGAAAATGATAAAATAAAGTAGGACTAGCAAGGTGCTGTGGTCCTTGAGGGGACCTGTGAGAAGGCTTTCTTTCTCTTTCCAAGACTAAAATTACAATCCTGTTATTCCACTGTCACACAGGTAATTGAAATTCTAATTCTGAACCTAATCTAAGGAGGTGGTGAATCTCAGTCTTACTTAAAACTACAGCATTGCTCAGACCAGACAACTCTCTGATGATACAGAAAGGGAAACAACCACTGACTTGTTATATCAGGTCATGATCTCTTGGGAAGAGCTTAGACAAGACAGTTACACATACCACTCCAAAAACTTGGTGCAGTTGCCCACACATGCCACCATTTAAAGTTTCAGGTCTGGTAGTGCTTCCTGACATAGGCAAATAATTTACTTTTTCTTTGTTTTCCTTATTAGAACACATGGCCCTTGAAGAAATCTATGGTCAGTTTCACCCATTGCTGGAGAATTTCATTGGGTCCAGTGCTAAAGGTATTGAGCAGAACAAAGCAATTAGAGCAGAACTTTGAAATGAAAGTGTGAGTAGGTAACAGTTTGCCAGCATTGACTGTGTAAGTTGCAGAGGCTGCTGTTCTTTGCAAGGATGGTGTGTGGATTGCTATGATGTTTTGCTGACCTGTGCTCCCTCGGGGACTGGGAAGCGCTGGACTGGCACTGGGGGGACAGGAGATCCACATTTCTGGCAGAAGTGAGCCAAGGGCTCAGACAGGCGAGGGGCAGAGCAATGTGCACATCTGAAAATAAGAGCAAACTGGCTGAGCTGGGTTTAATATTTCACTGCTGCATAATAATGAATAATCTGGCATTGGTTGTGACAGGACTTAGCCCACTGATTTCTCAGTTGTGGTGGAACACCACACCGTGCCCCAACATCCACGATATGGAGTTCTGAACTCTAAACAGCTTTGCAAGGTGGAAAGCTCTCTGGCTACTATGGAGTTTCATACTTTCCTCCTCATCATGGGACATAAACAGGTCTCCAGACAGGCAGTCTGTGTCAGGCCTCACTGCTGCACCATGGGGAGCCACCGATGTAGATCACAGAACTTTTTCAATACTGATAAGCATTAATGCTCTGCTCCTGTGAGAAGTGTTCACCTACAGCACTGAGGGTGTACTATAATTTGAAAAGACAGTTTATCCTCTGATCCTATGGGTCTTAGGAGTTTTTTTAAGGGATGATAAGACAGCTGATAACTGACAGTTGAAAACTGCATTTAAGAAACTGAATTTTCAAAGTCCTATCTAGATTATACTCTGCAGCTATGAGCCAGGGTCTGGTCTGTCTTTGCCTTCCTATTTTTTATAGAGGCCCACAATATTATCAGCTTGGTTGCAAAAGGATCAGATATTTTCCAAAGGACAAATATGTCAAAAGGAGAAGCCACTTACTTAAAGAAATCTGTTTCACTCTGGATCCTTGACACCTGTGTGCTTGCTAAACTTTTCTGGCTAGTCACTGCAGAGGAACTTGCAAACTGAAATAGAGGTAATTCTTTATGTTTTAGTAAGGAAATATTTGCAAAATATATAGAAAGATAGAAAAAGCAGCTAGTGATGCAATTTGCCATAAACTGCACTGAAATGCACTGCTTTGAGGAGCCTTCCTTCCCCTATTAGCTGCATTAAGAACACACAGCTTCTAATAAAAAAATTCAATGCCTTGCTACATACTTCCACCACAGCATTACTGAATATTGAGTTTTAAATATTAACTTGCCAACAAACAGCAGTAAGTATTTGCTAACTGCAGACTCAGAAATGTATTAGAAGGAATGTAGTCAGTATTGATTTCCTTTGCCTGGTTTTATCCACACTGACAACTCTGTCCTGCTTTGGGCATTCCTATTCTCGTGCATCATTACCATTACATTTAAATCAGGACTGTAGAATCCAGGGAAAGGCATTAATAGCTGAGAGATCACAAATCTTCACCTCCTCCTTTTTTAGACCTCTGTCCTGATGACAGCCTTGCAGAGATTTCTTCAGCCTACCCCTTGGCTCACCTGCAATGACTCCACTGGCTGTGCTGAGGTGGATGCTTCATAAAGAACCCCCGGGTTCTCTTAAAAAAAAAAAAAAAAAAAATTAAAAAAAAAAAATCAATGCCTTGCTCATACTTCCACCACAGTATTACTGAATATTGAGTTTTAAATATTAACTTGCCAACAAACAGCAGTAAGTATTTGCTAACTGCAGACTCAGAAATGTATTAGAAGGAATGTAGTCAGTATTGATTTCCTTTGCCTGGTTTTATCCACACTGACAACTCTGTCCTGCTTTGGGCATTCCTATTCTCGTGCATCATTACCATTACATTTAAATCAGGACTGTAGAATCCAGGGAAAGGCATTAATAGCTGAGAGATCACAAATCTTCACCTCCTCCTTTTTTAGACCTCTGTCCTGATGACAGCCTTGCAGAGATTTCTTCAGCCTACCCCTTGGCTCACCTGCAATGACTCCACTGGCTGTGCTGAGGTGGATTCCTCTCTGTGCTCTGTGGCTCCCAAACCACTGGCAAGGAGCTGAGGTCCTTGAGGGGATCTCTGAGTAGCCTTTCTGTCTGTTTCCAAGATTAAAATTACAACCCTGTTATTCCACTGTCACCCACTTCATGCTTTAGATAATATGTATCTGAACAGGAATGTTACATACTAGTTAAGCATAATTAAAAACAAATTTGGCATCCACATTTTGGGTTCAAATAAACTGCAAGGAATTACAGGAAATGAAACTAGAAGAAGCCCCACACCTCTCTGACAGAGCTTACTTTTGTGTTTTAATTCATTTACAGTTTTCTTCCTTCCTGCATGCTAAAAAACGCCAGCTCCTAAGAGTAAATTAATGAGTAAACATTAATATAATTACCTGCTCTAAAACAGTCCCATTGCTGTTGCCATGGAATAAGAGACTTTATCTACAGAGAAAATCTGGGTGAAGCTTTCATTTCTGCTCAGTGTATTTATTTTGGAATCTTGCTGCAAGCAAACATCAGTAAAGAGACTCTGTAAAGGATTTGCAATCCCATCAATTTAAGAGTATCTTCTGGCACAAAGGGAAATACAGACAGGGCATTGTTGTGCTGCTGAATGATGTTTTAATGTGCTTTTAAGAAGTCATGTGAAATGTATGGAAGGTAAATTTTGTTCTCTATTTGCAGTGTTGAGCAATCCAAACTGGAATTTCCAGAGGATGTTCTGTCCTCTGAGAGGGTTTTAAAATTACCCACATTTTACAAGTGATACAAGAGGGAAACTCTATGCTATTTTCTGCTAGAACAGAAGACTATCTCAGTTTTATGAAGTGGTGCTTACCTTGAAGGTCTTGGGATGTTTCCCCCCAGGCAGGCTTGATTTCCACATTCAGTCTATTCTTCTTAGGTTTTGTAGTAAATGTTCCACCTTCCTTATTCTAAAATGTAATTCCATTTGAATTCCAAATAAAATTTTTGCTTTTGCTCTAATCCTCTCTTGCTATAGTTATTAGTTAAAATTTTAAGAGTACATGCTTAAGGTATTTATTTTCAATGCAAGCATGTGAAAAGCTTAATTTTAACATTACAAAAGGACTAAGGCAGCAAAGATGGGCAAACAGAGAAAATAAGATATGTGAATAAAACTGGCAGTCAAAGCTTAATCTCTAAATAATATCATATATATAACATATATCATAATATCACATATCATATAAATTTTATACTCACACAAGGGGTTACAATTTCCAAAAATTACCTGTGTGGCCATATCTTTCAGGAAATTCTTGTCATCATCTTCAACAGGGAAAACGGAGTTTGGTTGCTGGTACTCTACCACAAACACCTTTGTCACAATTGAACTCTCCCTGTAGTCCCTGAAAATCAATATTCACAAACTAAGAACCTGCCACAGACCCATGTGCTGCAAAAGAAAATCACTGATGGATGTGGCTTATTAGGTGGAACATCCTTTCCAAGCTTGCAGTCATTATTGCAGTAGAATCCTGAGCAATATTTATTTGCTAAAACAACTGTCATTCTCTAATACTTATTAAAATGTAATAGTGGATTGAAATTGCTGTAAATGTCCAAACCACTCTTCCATGATTTATTGTCATTATAGTGAATCTCTGAAAATGTCTTAGTAAAAACAGATTGAAAACAAGTGTTTATCTAGGCAGTGATAGCAAGAAAACAAACATAGGTCTGGGTTTTGTGTGTGATATAATGTTGTATTGCAGTGCAGACACAAGCACAGGCTGGCTGCAGGTGCTGCTAACAGGGAACAGCAAACACCAATCTCCAAGTGGAGTGGAAATTCCTGCTCCCTTGGAAATAAAAGATAATAAAGTACAGACAAAGAATCGATGTGTCCTCTCTCTGTTTCTAAGCATGAAGTTAGTTTGGACAAAGTCAGTGGCTGTGCAGCAAAATCCACTTTCCTTTCAATGTACTGTATTTTTGCTTCACCCAATGTTGTACTTAAGCTGTGAGGTCCAGCATTCTGTGATCCTTTGGGAGAAATGAAGCAAATTCCTGGGAAGACCAGCTTCTATAAACCCCAGAACCACTGGGTGACCCCAGAAACACCAGCCTGGTTTCTCTGGTGTTTCTGATGGTCACACTCCAAAGGATGAGCTCTCAGGACAGTACATCAGCTTCTCACCCACAGCCTTTGGGATCACTGGACACCCAGAGACCAGGGGATAACACCCAAGAGGTTATCCAACTACACAAACACTCAATGGATAAAAATTATCCTGAGAAAGCCAAGTCAGTGCTATTCATGAGGATCATTTAGATTGCAAAGTGCCTGGGGAAAGGCTCATCTCTCACCTGCAGGGTTTGGAGTGCTTTAAACAACACAGGCTATGACAGGGATGTCTGTCCCTTGCCAAAACAGGGCTAAAATAAGCCAAAACAGGATACTCACTTTGTAACTGCCAGGGCCTTGACCATTATTTTCCCCTCTGGCAATATGATAGGGCCCTTATACTCCAAAGTGTTATATGGCCCATGGCCAGGTTTCCTAATGAGTTCTGGTTTACTTCCATCTAAAGTGTAATAAATAGAGGCCCCAGGTGTATCTGAAAGAAGCAGAAAAATTAATTCCTCACACTGTAGGCAACTTTGGGAAAACAAAGTACTCACTACCCTGCTTGATTTTTCTCACATGAAGAAAATAAAGCAGGTCCATAAGTGACTGAATGTTTGGGATCAAAACTGTTTCTCCCATGAAATATTAGTTACTCAACAAAAGCAGTTTCACTGTAAGCAATATTTCTGACAGCAAAATATGATTTTGCATGCAAACCTTGCAGCAGCTTGTCCATTCCAATGACAGAAAGGGTATTTTCTACCACAGCAAAAGGTGACAATTCAAAAATTGTAATGACAACACTGGGAGTGAGCCTGGCATATGATTCTTTCAAGCACTGTTTTTGCAGTCAAAGCCAAATACAACAGCTTAAAAGTTTGGCCTTGAAGCAATTAAGACTGCTAACACATAATTTTTACGTCAGTAATATTGTTTGGATGCATAAAATTACATGCAAGTATATTTGGTGCATCAAACCTACTGGTTAATTTTATAAATTCCTTAAATGCACACTCCAAAAATCATGATTAAATGTGAAAAAAGTATAAAGGCCAACTATTTCCAATGCACACATAAGTACAGGTTTGAGGTGGAGTTAAAGCTCTTGTTCATACCTGATTTTATTTCTATGAGAGTATTTGTGTCTATTTCCCGCTGAGCTTTCCCTGGAGGTGGGATTCGAAGTGGGATGATCTGGGGAGCTGAGACAGAGCCAGCTGTCATTTTTTCAGCAGTGATCTTTAAAACAGAAAAGTAAAAAGGCAGACAATCATTTTCCTAAAAAGAAGAATGCACTGAGGTATACAGTCTTTTAGCATGAGTCCTTGTCTTTGTTTCTCTTAAAGAGGGAACACTGGATTCTTTAAACCATCCTGTGACTGTGATTCCATGTGTTTGAGATTAACAGCATTAGCACCTCATGTCAGTGATACATGGAAGGAGGAAGGGACAGGAATCTCCACCCTAACCATGGCAGATGTGAAACCATCCTCGTCCCACTATGGCCACCTGTGTAAGTACAGAATGCCCTGGAGAGGACTAAAGAAAACCAGGTATTTCTTAAGCTTATGCCAGTTATCATGTGAATCCAGAATATATCCACGGAACAGGTGCCAAACCTGATTTATCCTGCTGTACATAGCCATCACCATGTCTTGTAATTCAAGAATGAAAAATCGCATTTGGATATGATGACATTTTACAAAACAAAGAGAATGGACTCCAGATCTTAGGAATTGGTGCTTAGGGCCAGGAACCACGGATTTGGTTCTGCCACCAACCCTGCAGTGCTCCAGAACAGCTCTGATGCTACTCAGCTCTGCAGGCAGTGGGGGACACTCCCCACCCTCTCTGGCCAATCTGTCCCAGTGCTCCTTCACAGGGTGCGGCTGAGCCTTTCCCGTGGACATTCTCTGTCCCATTTCTGGGCACCACCGCGCCGAGCCCGCTCCATCCTCTGACACACACCCACGAACCACGGGCGGATCGGCTCCTTCCCCGACCCGAGGGACAGGCGTTCCTCCCTCCCGAACCTGAGGGGCAGGCGTTCATCCCTCCCCGTCCTGAGGGGCAGGCGTTCATCCCTCCCCTCACGCTCCCCCCGCTCCGGGCACCCCCAAGCTACGCGGGCCCCGCTCCAGCTTTTGGGATCGCATCCCTGGCGGCCCCCACACCCCGCCCCGCTCCGTGGCTGCTGCCCAGCCCCTGCTCACCCGCCGGATCCCGCCCGGTCCCGCTGGATCCCGCCCCTCCCGCTCCGTTTCCAGGGACGCCGCTCCCGCCGCCCACTGGCCGTTGCGGCGCGCCTCTCTGACGTCATCCGTCCGCGCCGGAGCCCCCCGCTATGGCGGAGGTGAAGGTGAAGCCGGAGGTGCCCGATCCCATGGACATCGAGAGCAGGTGCTGCGGGCGCCGCAGGCGGCCGTGGAGTGGCGGTGTGGAGGCCACGAAGGACGGGTTTTGGGGCGGGGGGCAGCGGGCGTGGCGGGGCGTTGCCGTTCAAGGGCTGAGGGGGGTGGTTCGACGGCCGAGTGTTAATGAGGAGATGGGTGCTGAAGGAGAGGGTTGTGGGGACACTGAGGGTTTCGTGCTGGGAGGGCCTTAGGGGGTAGTGAGGGTTGGGTCAGGTCACTTTCGGCTGTCCCGGAGTTTTTGTGGTCTTGGGAAGGGAAATGGGGCACAGGGAGTTGGTGCCGAGCTCCCTGAAGAAGCAATTGATGGATACTTTTCCCCTGGGTTGCTCTTGTCACTCTCTTCCATCCCGACTCCAGTGCTGTTTGGATTTGGGGTTGGATGGAGCAGAACAGGACTTTTAAGGTTGCTTGTCTCCTCCCGCAGGATCCTAGAGCTGTGCCACCAGTTCCCCCATGGCATCACGGACCAGGTGATCCAGAATGACATGCCTCACATGGAAGCCCAGCAGAGAGCTGTGGCCATCAACAGGCTGCTCTCCATGGTAGGGACAGCCCGCCTTCCTCTTCTTCCTCAGCACATACATGACCACAAGGCCCATTAGGGGTGGGAGTTAATTAGCTGTAGAGAAAAGGAGGATGTGAGCCCATGCTTTTCCTTCTCTGAACCCCCCACAACACCCCAAGCTCGTGCGTTGCTCTGAAGGCACACAGGAACCTGCCAGATCTGTAAGAACCAAGGCTGTAGGAAAGGATCAGCTGGCAATGGGAGAGTGAATGTTGATTAATGCTGTTTTACACACTTACACCCTTAGGCTTGTCCAACTGCTTTCCTCTTCAAAAGAGGAAAGAAGGACTTTGCCTGGCCACAAGCATGCACAATCTCCTGGTGTGTGTGAGACATGGCAGTAATTTGCTCTAAGGGGCACTGCCCATCAAAATTGGCAGCTTTCCAGTGATGGCCACTAAGTAAAAAGCAGAACTTTGCTGCTGGAACTTGGAATTGTTCCAGAGCTCCGCCGTGATTTCTGGGTTGCCGTGCAAACGAGTGCTTTGGTGGGAGCTGAGAGCAAAGTGTGCAAGAACTGGATGTCCCCTGTAGCCTGTGAAAGTCAGGGGAAATAATAGGAATTGTGTAGATGTTGTGGGAAGGGTCAGGAACTGTTTGTTATTTCTGATAGCTGATGATAAGTGGAAATTTGTCAGGGGAAAAAAATATCCTCAAGGCTGTTATTGTTTCCAGTGGTTAGAAATGTTAGTTTTCATTTTTCTTTATTTAGTTCACATTAAATAAGGTTTTTATTTTAGAATTTCAGAGTGTTCTTCTAAAACACCTTCTGAAACAAGCTGTTTGAAGGAAAGTAAATGCATTGTGCCCATCTCTCCTAGGGGCAGCTGGACCTTCTGAGGAGCAGTGCAGGTCTGCTGTACAGAATCAAAGATTCCCAAAATGCCAGGTAAGCCTGTGTCTGCTGGGTAAGTATGTTGGGAACACAATTCTTGTTTAAAACAAATCAAACTTCAGTTCTTGTTTAAAACAAATTAAACTTCTTTCAAAGTTTGGACCTTTAAAAAATCCTGATGTCTGTCTTGGTTTACAGTAAAATGAAAGGTTCTGACAATCAGGAGAAGCTGGTTTACCAAATCATAGAGGACGCAGGCAACAAAGGTACTTTAAATTATGATTGTGAATGGTACTAACTCTGTTTGCTTATGGGAGCATTCCTGTCCAAAGTCACAAATGCTTGCCCAGACAATACAAATATAAAATCTAATGCCTCATACCTGCTTGTTTTTCCCCAATCCTTTCTGTCCATTCCTTCCCTTTTGCTGGGAGTGGCAGGCAGGCAACCCAGGCAGTGTTCTGATGTGACTTTTGGTTGGTATGTATGGAAACAAATGGTTTCTTCTATTTATTTCTGTTCACTTCTCTGTTTTTTAACAGGTATTTGGAGCAGGGACATTAGGTACAAAAGCAATCTGCCTTTAACAGAGATCAACAAGATACTGAAAAACTTGGAAAGCAAGAAATTAATTAAAGCAGTTAAATCTGTGGCAGTGAGTATTTTGTGACCTTTTTTTAATCATTTCAAACATCTGCTGCATGCTTTGTATGCCTTTAACAGGGGCCTGGGGGCAGAGAAACCTCATTTTGCCTCCAGCTTTCTCTGACTGTGCACCAGTGTTTGACTCCCTGCCTTTAGTGTGCAGGTTTGAGGTGCAGCAGGTGCTGGGTCCCCAGGTCAGCTTCTCTGCTGTCTGCTTCCAGTTGTCTGGTTCTCACTGGGTCTGGTAGAGCAGGTGGGGGTAGAGAAGTTGGACACAGCAAAGCAGTAGCTTGTTTGTGTTCACGTGAAAGATCTGGTCTTCCAACGCCATGCTATAAAATGATCAGGAATCAAAATGGGTTGCTGTGCCTTAGGTGTAGGAGTAATAAACCTCTCTTGCAGATGATCTGCTCACATGTTCCTTCCTGCTGAAGGCTTTCAGCTGTTGAGAGCTGTACGTTTCCCTCCCCAGGCATCCAAGAAGAAGGTCTACATGCTGTACAACCTGCAGCCCGACCGCTCCGTCACTGGAGGGGCCTGGTACAGTGACCAGGACTTCGAGTCCGAGTTTGTGGAGGTGTTAAATCAGCAGTGTTTTAAGTTCCTGCAGAGCAAGGTGAGTGCCAAAGTCACCTGCATTTGTTGTGTAAACAGGTGCCAGGCAAGGCTTAGGCTTTCCATAAGTGTTAGCCATTGTTGCAGCTAGATTGGCAAATCCATACTGGACTGTTATTTCTGTCACAGTAGATGTGATGGTGTTGTATTTAATCATGGATATTTTTACACCCTGGACAAGGAGGGAAGCCTTTTGTCCCCAAGGTCCAATGACTAACTGTCCTAGGTGACCCTAAATTGTGTATTCCTTATCTTCTGTGTCCCAGCCTGCCCAAGAGTATTACCATCCCTAAGAGCCAGCAACCCGGGAAAGAGGAACTTGTGTGTTTTATCCTGGAAGGGGAGGGTGGAGGATCCCCATAAAAACAGAAATGGACATGAGGGGAACACACTTGTTCTCCCTGGGTGCCTGAGGGGATTGCCTGGGGCGGGTCTTCAAGTCATACCCGATGTGAAAAATGCCAGTCACTTGTTTTTAAAATTTTAAGAGTTTAATAGTAATAAAATGGTTATGAAAAGAGTAATATAATTAGGGAAATAAAAATTTGGACAATTAGGATTTAGGACAATATGAGCTAATAAAAACAAAGAGTTATGGACAGTCCGAGTACCTCTTTCTGGGCAAAATAAGCCTGAAAAAGGACCCGTGTTAACAGAGGATTAACCCTTAAAAGCAATAGCCTGTTGCATATTCATACAATTCATACATGATGTATAAATTCCATTCAAACAAAGGATTCTGTCTGGTCAGTGTCAACTTCTTCCTCTGAGTCCTGACGGCTCTTCAGGGCTGAATGAGGCGGGAAGAAATTAGTTTATTCTGATAATGGGGCAATAAATTCTCTGAAAGATTTAGGTGTCCTGTGGCTGCTATCTCAGTCAAGTCCTCTCTTTAAAAAAAGTATCTTACATAGCATAGTTTCTATTTTAACACTATGTTGTAACCTAAAACTATATTTAACACACTACTTAAGAAAATTAATACAGCGTAACTTTCTAACATAACACATATAATATTTATTTTAATATTTGTGAAAAGCCAATCATAAAATACGCATTTTTCACACCCGAGAAGCTGCATTTTGCAGTCCAGACCTGCTCCAGAGGGAATTTGGCAATATGTTTTCCAGCCAAGGAGCAGTCAGACACTCTCTCTGCGATTTTCCAGCTGCCTGCCGTTTGTTTGTTGAGGAGGGGGTGGACCTGCAACTTGCTGGAAAGTTTTTTTCCAGCATTTTGGCAGCATTGGAGCCTTTTGACCAAAAATTGTTTGTCCAGATTTTGTTTTGTCCCTGTTCCCCTCTGACTGTTGTTTGTGGAAGTTCTGGAACTGCCGAGGCTGTTGTCTTTTATTTGACTTTTTTGCCCCTTCTGCCTTGTCCCATTTTGTTTATTTATTGGTGGAAGGAGATTAGTTAAAACTAAAGGGAGGGATAACTCATTTTGGAGCCTCCACCCCATATAATTGTCTTAAAATAAGACACAAACCAGGCAGCAAAGACCACAGGACCAAAAAAATCTAGGAAAAGTCACTCGCGGAGGCTGTTGTCTTTTATTTGACTTTTTTTCCCCTTCTGCCTTGTCCCATTTTGTCTATTTATTGGTGGAAGGAGATTGGTTAAAACTAAAGGGGGGATAACTCATTTTGGAGTCTCCACCCCATATAATTGTCTTAAACTAAGACACAAACCAGGCAGCAAAGACCACAGGACCAAAAAAATCTAGGAAAAGTCACTCTGGTTTCTGCAGAGCACCTAATTTCTGAGAGGATGTAAGGCAGCAGTCAGTCGGGTAGCTCTGCCTAGAACACAATTGCCCCTAGTCTAAATTGTCCCTGGTTCACTAAATATTTCTGCAGATTCTAGCATTTGTCTGTTGCTTTACAATATATTTTTAATACTATAGGTACAGCAGAAACTTTTTTTTTTCAACAAAATGTCAAATGCTGGTATTCCTTCATATTAATCTGAATTACAGTGTAAATTTTATCTCATAAAATGATATTTGAATGTGCACTGCATTGTCTCACATACACCAGTTTTAAGAATGTGGCTTTAAATGCTAAATGTGTTCCAGAAATGGAAAACAAGTTTTGTTTTTGAGTCTGCCTGAAACTGAACCACGAAGGAGGCTCTTGGCAGTGAGTGCTGACTCTAACTATCCTTTGCTTTTTCTCAGGCAGAGGCAGCTCGAGACAGC